GCATCAGCTTCTTCTCTCCTCATAGCAAACAGTCTTGGTTGCCCAGATGCTTGAGATCCTTGCCATCGATCTCGCTCATTGCGGTTGAACCGCCCTACATTTCCTCCCTGCTGGTGATTAGACCGATTTGGCTGGTTGCCAAACTGCTGTCCGGTTTGAGTTCTTCCTCCTCCGCCCCGGACCGATTGCTCGGACTGGGCTCTCCCCTGTCCTCCTTTTCTGGGGCAATCTCTGGCATAGTGGCCCGGCTCGTTGCAGTGATAACAGATGCCTCCCAGATGCACCTTACACTCTCCCGGGTGGATTCTCCCACACTGGTTGCATGGATCCCGAGGAATGTAGGTCGGCCCTGATCTGGTTGAGCCGGCCTGACTCTGGGTGGCCCCATAGTAGCTCTGAGATGGTCTCCTTCTCTGCTGACTCGGCTGTCCTGGCCCCTCAGACAGGCTAGCAGCCTTTCTCTTGTTGCCTTCTCGTTGCATCCCTTCCTCATATAGAGCGGTATCCGCCCTCTCCAATCGAAGAGCCGCCTGATAGATCTCTTCCCTGTTGTTCCAATTCAGTATACTCAGCTGGCGGCGAAAAGCAGGCTTCAGGCTCTCCAGGTAATGGGTGCGTTGAGCTGCTACATCCTGAAATTGAGGCCCTCCATAGGTAAGTAGCTTGTCAAACCTGGCCGTGTACTCAGTCACGCTTTCCCTGCCTTCGTTGCCCCACTTCTGCCTGATCAGCAGAAATTCCCTCTGCTTCCCAATCCGGTAAGCCTCCGGTATGAAGTGGTCTTTGAACAACTGCACGAACTCTGGCCAAGTGATGGCCGGTGGATCCTCTCGACTAGCTGGCTGGTTAGTCCACCAGTTGTATGCAGCGTCCTGCAGCAAGGACACTGTCAGCAGCACTCTATCCTCGTCATCAGCTCTCATCTCGACCAGCGTACGAGTGACCTTTGCTAGCCACTGCTCTACTTCCATGGGGTCTGTTGAACGCTCCCCCTTAAAATCTTCCACCTTTCTCTTCCGAAAACCTACATAGTCTGGTGGACGTCTCTGTGGTGGGGGCACCTGTGGTGTGGGGTTCTGGCCAACACTTGCACTGTAGACGCATAGGGTCTCGTTAGAGCTCAGTTATTTCTTCCTTAATATAGTCTAGAGTAGACTGGAGATTCTAAATTTCTTAAAAGAAATCCTTGACTTGTTTGGCCAAACTTTGACGTAAAATCTTTAAAAACAAAACCTTTCAAAACTGAGACCGACATTCCAGTATTTCTTGGGAATCAAGAAACAGAGGAAGACCCGGCTCTGATACCAAAATGAAACATCCCTCCTCTTTGAATTTGGAAAAAGACATTTCTACCCCGGGGTATAGTTAAAAATCTCAAATAACACATGTTTAAATAAAAATACCAAACTCAAATATCTCAATATCTCAAACCGTAGCCCTAAACATGTGGGCAAAACTCAAATTGTCCAAAGGAAATGAATCTCCAGTCTTTAACTCTTAACCATAATGTCTTAATAACTTGAAAAGTTCTTCGAAGCTTACTCTGACGCCTGACTCGACATCTCTCAACGACGATAGTGTTGAGCTCCTCTAGCTTGCTGATCGCGGACTGGCTGGTTTGGATTTCCTCCTCTACGATCTGGTGAGTGAGTTGGGGTCAGTCTACGCCCTTACGATAAAATCCATAGTACTTTAGTATTCTTCTCTAAACAATTAACTTCTATTAGTGGAAGTTGTTTTGTACTTCCACTCTTAAAACTTATAACTCATAAAATTCTTCGGGAGTTAAAGTTAGTCTCCCTTCTTAAAGCTCAAAACTTGACTTAAATCTTTTTGACTGACACTGGGATCCCTCACTAGCTAGTCCGGTTGTCAACTCATACGTATGAGAAGCCACCTAGGCTTTCCTTAAACTTAAACTTAGTTAGGGAAGTCGTAACGATTCATCCCCCTAACATCTTAAACTTATCGTGGTGGCTCTTCACCACGATTCTCAAGGGCATAACTGCTGCCCATCTTAAAAGTCTCAAGAGCATAACTGCTGCTCTATCTCAAAATGTCTCAAAAGGCAACGGACTGGCGCTAGTGACTAAAAACACTTAAAACGACTTCACCTTCTTGTAGGTGAGTTACTTCTAAAAAAAGAACTTGTTTCTTACTTTAACAATAACTTATAAACGGAAAGCTTTAAATTGACTAAGAACTCATGCACATTCACATCAAATCATAGCTCAACCAAAGCACATACTATCAAACATAATCATGCAATCTCAAACATGAATCAAACACTGCACATACATCACGTAATTCAAACTTGAAAATACTCAAAGCAAATACTTGAAAAACCGTAAGACGTAGAATTTACCCCCTTTACACTCACCTTATGTTAAGTCGATTCGGTTGGGACTAACCACCTACCCGCAAGCCTTCTCGTAACTTGTGTTCAACTTCTTTCCCCGTCTGTGCAACCAAAACATTGTGGTATTTTAACTGTTTCCTAAGCGGTGCCCAAGCTACTAGCGACTAGAAATTCCCATGTCCAGATTGTTCATTACAATTAATTCATCCTTTCAATATAAAGCATCACCACGTCATTGTCCACTGATCTTGCCTTACTTGTGCTTAATTTATGACTCAATAGGTTATTAGCTATTCATTTGACAGCATGCACCCCTTCTATTTCCATTATATAATTGGGTTCACCCATCACTTGACTCCTCTTTCTCGCGGGTACGAAACCCACCCTTAAACCATCCTGCTAATTACACATTAGCATATCATGCGCTCCCATGCATCAAAATAAACGCCAACAACCAGAGCCTCCCCTCAATTCCATCGACAAAAGCCAAACCCCTCCTTTAATTTCGTAGCTCACATAAAGAAAACACCATCATCAACGAGTTTTATTGAAGAGGTCCTTACCTCAATTCCGGTTGCTTCCTCTAATTGTGTTAAACAATCATGTTGTTGCTTCCCTTTCTCCTCGACAGCACCGCGTTGCAGCTGCCACTCCTTTTCGCTTTTGTTGCTGGGGACACGAGAGGGACGTCGAGCGGCCAGGGGGGAAGTTGGGAAAATTGAGGCGGCGAGGTTCTAATTGGGAACTGGCGGAGGGTTTTTTTTTGCGTGGTTGGAAGGAGAGACGAGGTGGGGGTTTTCTCTGATGCGGGAGGGTTTGGGATTATATGCATTTAGTGAATTGGGACCGATTTCACGCGCAGGGGGGGAAGGTGGGCCGAGCGCCCTCTTGGCCCGATTCCTCTTTTTTTTTTTTAATAATAATAATAATAGTTTTTATTATTATTATTCCTAATCCGCGGTTGCAATCCTTAGTACATAACCGTTAATCCAACCGTTCACGTATTTGGGTCGAACCTGAACCCAAAATTCGGGGTGTTACACCGTGCACAACACCATTCTGGCCGTGCACCCTCAAAACGCACCGTTTCACTTAATCGATCTCAGCCATCTTGCACGGCCAGGTGCACGGCCGTGCAAGGCTGGATTTTGCCCGTGCAAGGCCTCGGCAGAGAGCGCACGGCCAGAATTATATGTTGCACGGCCGTGCGCCTCCCTGGTCTGCCCGTGCAGCTTGCTCAGCCTCTGTTTAATGCTTCGTTTCTCCCTCGTCCGGACTCCGATCATCGTCGCGCGTTTGATCCCAGACGCTCGTAGTCTCGTCCTCTTTCGTTTCATAACAAGATTGCATGATTCTCTGTCCATAAAGTGAGGTAGAAATCAATTCTTCTTCAGGTCATGCCCGAGTTTCTGCTCCCGAATCGCCAATTGATCTCTGATTGACTTGAAACTTGCGCCTATGCTTCACTTTATGTGCTAGGACCTGAAATGTGACAAAGGAACACAACCTAGCATAAAATAGGCCAAAGACACGGTAATTCAAGCTCAAACAATCAAGAAACAAAGGGGAAAACATGTGCAAATACCGAGTCATCACTCCTCTAAGAAGTTAATGTTTAAATCTTTGGCGCTTTACCTTTCGATTCCCCCCCCCCCCCCCCCCCCGCCGCCTTCAGTATGTATAGGGCCTTCATTAGGGATGGCAACAAAACCCGAACCCACGGGTACCCACCCGGCCCAACCCAGTCAACGCGGGTAAAATCCGTGTTGACTGGTTTTGGGTCGGGTTTGGGTTTAAACCCGTTCACTATTCACCGGGTTGGGTTGGGTTTGGGTTTAGGTAAACCCGACCCATGGGTACCCGCCCACACTCATATAGTTAATTTTCTCGGTATATTTAATATTCTAAACAACTAATCTTATTTATGTTTCTGGAGACATGTCTAATTTTTTCTTTCAAATTGTGTAGAATGAAGTTGATGTTATCGAGTGGGGAGTGAAGAAACTTAATTGAAAGGAATAAGCTTTCAATTAATCATGTTATTTATGGATAATTTGTGATTTGCTTCAATTTTCTTGAGTTTTCTAGATTGGTGTTGAACAATTTGTATAGTTAATTTGTGATTTGCTTGAATTTTCTAGAATGGTGTTTTATATATGGATAAATTTGTATTGAGAGATTAATATTTGACTTTAATTTTGATAGGAACTTCTTATTGTAAATTTTTTACGACAAAAACTCGTGGGTACCCATGTACCCACGAATACCCAGCGGGTTGGGTTGGGTTTGAGTTTTTCAAACCCAATGGGTTTTACCCCGGGGTTTTTTACGGATAAACCCATGGATTTAGGTTTGGGTTTGGCAAAACCCGACCCAACCCGACCCATTGCCATCCCTAACTTTCATGAATTTTGACATCCGGCTCCTTCCCTCCCCATGGCTCTTTGTGTTGCCGGCTCTTTACTTTTCGTTCTTTGCACCTTAGAGCTTTCTGTTTTTTCTTTTGCCTTCAACAGGGATAGGATATGGTTCAAGTTTTCTGGCATGCTTTATATTGGCTGACCTTGTCCCCTATCGCGGTACTCCAGCTTTGTCTCTTCTTCCAATGTTGGCATAGTCATCCCTCGTAAAGTAGTGAAAATCCTAATTTAAATTAGAGAGAAGTAGAAATTAGTGGTAGGTTTAGTGAGAGAGGAAGTATTTGAGTTACCCTCAATGCATACACAGGGGTATTTATACCCAATTGTTAAAACTTATTACATTAAATGCGATGTCAAGCGTCCTAAGTAAGTCTCACGTTCGAGGAGGCTGCCTTTGACTTGAACCACTCTAAGACGATCAATGCGCATTACTACAAGTAGAACACAACAACAAATGTAGACAATGGTGGAATAGATACGCCACTTCTCATCCCCTAACGTCTCCTTGATGACTTCCCTTTGGCCTTTGGGTCGAAATGGTGAGCTTTGAGTTTCTTCTTCTTTGGCAAACCAGTGGCACTACCACCGCCACCTTCCCTGAAGGGCATTCCCATCAAAGTCAACATTTTCTGGGCTTCTTGATCTGTGTTAGCTGTGGTTGAGATGCACACGTCCATTCCCCTCGGCTTTCCTGATAGATCAAACTTGATCTCTGGGAACACACCTTGCTCTCTTATTCCAATGCTGTAATTCCCATGTCCGTCAAAGCTACTAGTGGTCACACCCTGGAAATCCCTTGTCCTTGGAAGCCCCAAGTTTATGAGCCTGTCTAAGAATGAGAACATCACCTGGTGGTTCAAGGCCAACCAGAGTAGTGTCATACTTGGAGCAGGAAGAAATAGCAGTTGCGACCGGATAAGGGTGGGAATAGAAAGAAAGATTATGCACTGTAGACTCACATTTCCTCTGAGTGTTACCGCGATTCCAAGTGGCTGACCCTCCCGGATCTTGAAAGTGGCAATGGAGTTACGTGCTCGAGTTTTCACTGGTCTCTGGCCGGCAATCAGGGCTAAGTCGTTCATCGCTGCGTCCAGTCCCTTGGCATTCTGTGCAGCTTCCCCAATCCCACAGTTGAGCACAATCTTGTCAATTTTGGAAACCTAAACTTATAGAAGAAGAAATGCCATACCCACGTCAGATACTCTGTTAATCATGGATTAGCCATTCAAATAATATGGGGACTTACATGGTTGACGGCGACATGAAGTTGGGGCACATCGCATCAAGGGAAGAACTTTAGCCTGATAGGTCTAAACATCTTGGAAGCTTTACGTGCAACTTGCAAGGCAGTCACTCAACTTAGGGCGAACCGGAGCATTCCATGAAATCTGCTAGAGCTTTGTTGATGTCATTACACTCAATCTAGCGCATCATCGATGGTTTCGGAAGTTACTAGTCCTATCCTTTCCTCAACTGTTCACACAACCAAAAAAAAACTAAACCAAAATATTTGAACGCCCATTTCAGAAAGCCAATCTTATCCTATTCTCCAAGCCCGAGAATTCGATCCAAACAAATTTCAGATAAGATGATGACAGAATTGGATATTAGAAAGAGGTACAGGCCAGTGCCAGAGGAAAAGAGAAAACCCACTCGCGACCTGATGATGTTAGAGTAGGAGAACTCTTCCATGAGAAGAGGAACGATTTTTCGAGGTAGAGTGGTCTTCAGGCGATTCACCTTCTCGCTTCCGATTTCTCCAACAGCACAATCTCAGCAGTCGCTCTCAATCACCGAGACCAACCCGTTGCCGTTTCGAGGGTTTCTTCTGAACGGGAGTCGCGTGGCCGCCGGAGGGGAAAAATATAAGGGGCTGACCGCGAAATGCCGCCGCAGCGGCGGAATGTAGGAGCGAAGGAGACGCCATCGAGAAGGGAGTTAATTTCGGCGAGGTGTGTGGCGGTGCCCAGAAGATAAAGTATGCGGCGAGAAGGACGGTGGGTGAGGTTTTAGGATAAAAGGGTGTACGGAGGATTCTATTAATGAATTGCTATTTGCCGCCCGTTGTTTTACTATTTGCCGCCCATAGTTAGGACAAAAAAGACAAAATTGCCCCTACCCCCTAACCCTATCTATCCACCCCTCCCACCCCACCCCCACCCCACGCCTCCCTGCCTGGCCTGCCGCTGCACCAACCCCCACCCCACCCCACCCCTCTGCCGGCCGCCAACCTTCATTGTCGGCCGCCTTCCCCCATCCGAGCAGGCCGTCTTCCCCCTCAACCTTCCTTGCCGGCCGTCGTTCCCCCATCCGAGCAGGCCGCCTTCCCCCTCCTCAAGCCGCCGCCGATGCCGACTTCCCCCTCTGCTCGCAGTCGCCGCCCAGGAGTCGCCGCCCAGCTGTTCCAGTCGTCGGCGTCGAGGTATTTTTTTTTTTTTTAATACTGTCTCGGCGCCGTCCGCCCGGTCGGAGCGGACCCCGTCCGCCCGGTCGGAGCGGACCCCGTCCGCCCGGTCGGAGCGGACCCCGTCCGCCCGGTCGGAGCGGACCCCGTCCGCCCGGTCGGGTCGGACCGGTCTGGTCGGGCCGGTTGATTGCGCTTCTGATTCGGTTTGAATGGTTCGGTTTAAAGAAATATTTATTAGATTTATTTTAAATACAATTGTTAGTATATTAATTAGTTTAACATTGATAGTTGATTAATTTGTATATAATTGTTAATTGGAACATATAATGTGTTAGTTTATATATTGGGTAAGTTGAAATAATTATAATGTTAATTAATTATATAATGCGTTAGTTTATTAATTCGGTAAGTGGAAATAATTATTTGAATAACTATCTAGTTAAATTAATTAGTAATTGCTAATCTAATAATTTATTAACAGATTAATTCAATTAAGTAGATAACATCAAACGAAATAGTTACTCTATGAACAACAAGTAATTGCTCAACAAATAATTTTCAATAAGATATTAATAGAAAATTATTGTCTATATTTAGAGATGGCGTCATCTGGTAATTCTGGAGGATCACGTAGTTCTGGAGGACCAGGAAAGAGATTGAAAAGATTCTTTGGGCGTAACATTAGCGCTAGTGTGAGAAATAAGGACCAAAATGATGGAGATGAGCCACAGCCTCAGCCACAGCCTCAGCCACAGCCACAGCCACAGGTGACACCGATGAGATATAGGGCAGACGGTTTCCCTGAGTTTGATTTTCGGATGCCTAGTATGGGTGGTAGTGGAGCTGGTCCCAGTATTGATCATCATACTTCACCGTTTGAGCCTTCAGACGAGATTGTCGACGAGTCGGAGGAGTATGAGTCGGATGCTGTTGAGACACGTATTCCACGAGTCAGTCCGATCAGAGACAGAGGTGCCCCCAGCGTTGCGTCACCTGTCGTTACTGGGGTTCATGCTGTTACTGGGATCTATAGAGACCATGCGGGGCGTTTCTATAGAGCGCCACAGCCTGGTGAGGGCCAGAGTTCTACTGCTGATGTAGGAGAGGCCTGGGAGCCTAGAGGACCGTGTCCTGGAGGGCCGAGCGACCCGAGTTTGCTCTGTAGCTTTCTTGGGCATGTTGCCCACCGTCTGTACACGGGAGAGGCTGATAGAGGGGTGATCACTTGCTACGACAGGAGTGCGACCCTTTGTCACGTTCTCGGCGGTTATCAGATAGCAGATGATAACGCTAGGACTACCGTAGAGACATCGGGCCTTGCTCACCTCGTTGATATCACCTTCCAGAGCGAGTTGGACCCTGCACTCATCTCGGCATTTGTGGAGAGGTGGCAGCCGGATACTAACACCTTCCACATGCCGTTTGGAGAGATGACGATCCTCCTTCACGACGTGGCACACATTCTTGGGCTTGCGGTTGATGGAGAGGCGATGGTAGTGGATCCGAGGCAGTTGGAGAAGTTTGCACTGGAGGCTGACATCCGAGCACTACTGGGATTAGATCGTGACGAGGATGAGTACGGGGCGCAGGTTGGCGAGGTTGCTAGTCTGTCTAGGTGGTACAGAGGATTTGGTTTGTCGGGTGTGGCAGCTTTGACTCATTTGCAGCAGTCTGGTCCGCCAGCTAGAGAGGCTCAGTGCTACCTTCTTTTGCTGCTTGGGTCCACACTGTTCGTAGATAAGAGTAAGGACCGCGTTTCTGTTGTTGTGAACTTGTTTGTGAAGAGGCCGGATATGCTAGGAGAGTATGCGTGGGGGGGCTGGAGCACTTGCTTATCTGTACAGGCAGCTTGGTATTGCCTCCCGGGCGGAGGCTAAGGGAGTGTCGGGTTGTCTGACTTTACTACAGTGTTGGATTTACGACCACTTTCCTACTTTGAGGCCTAGTCGGTTGGAGCCACGAGAGCTGGAGCGGGGGCAGGCAGGAGCATTCAGGTGGCGCGGTACAGCACCCCGGTCGAGTAAGAGGAGGGATGCACAGATGCTGGCTTATTATCGGCAGGCGATTGATAGTTTGACCCCTCAGTCAGTTAGTTGGACTCCGTATGGTCGTAGTCCTCATCTGACGGTGAGACGTACCTTGTATCAGGGCCTGCTCAGATTTGCAGAGATAGCAGAATATTATGATCCCACTAGGTGCCTCCGACAGTTAGGCTACGTGCAGGGAGTACCGTATCCACCGGAGCGTCCGCTTGTTGTGCGTCGACCTGCTTCCACGCTTGGATACTCTCTTAGCTACCATTCTGTCTATGATTCGTATTGGAACAACTTGGGGGCGCATAGTGTGCATCTGGACGTTTTTTCTACTCCGATACGACGTAGGCCATGGGAGTTTGCTGAGAATTACATGTCGTGGTACATTAGGCACTCGCACCCACATATACTGAGTGACAGCCGACCTGTTGATGACATCTCGGATGCTGATACGGTTAGTACAATTATATTTTAAATTATTTGTATTAAATTATTTGTAACTAATATGTATTTAAATTGTGTGGTTTTTTATTACAGTTGTCACGCGAGATGTGGGTTGAGATATCTCCCGTGATGGATGCTGCACAGGGTAGTAGGGAGGAGTGGATGGCTAGCGCCAACGAGTACTACGACTTATGTCATGGAGTTGGGAACATGTGGCCCGAGTTTAGGAGGAAGTCGGATTTTCTACCACCTCCACAGTAGTTGTATGATTATTATGTCATATGTATGAGTGTTATTTGTTGTTTTTAGACGAGTTGACTTATGTGGTGTTCAGTTGCTTATTTGTTGTTTTGGGACTATGACTTATGTTATTTGTGTAATCTGATAATGACTTATGTGGTTTATGTTGTACTTTGGATGTTTTTATTATATCATGCTTCCATGTGACGTAAACAAACTTCATTACAATTTATTTTAATTGAAGACGTTCATTACAATTTATTTAAATTGAAGACGTTCATTACAATTTATTTAAACTGAAGACGAGTACAAGTTTATTTCTTTGGACCCCTCTTTTTGCGTGATGGAAAGTTACTCGCCGCACCTCCAAGATCGAACCACATTTGAAAAAACGGCGCGAAATATGTCTCCCATCCATCCACGCTTTCTTGGTGACCGTTTGGCCACATGGCATGTGGAGGGGGCATCGGTATCTTGTCCGCCGGGAAAGAGAGGTTGATCCAATGATTCTGGACGAAATGCACAACAATGACTCCTCTAGGGTGGGCTTCCCCATGTATGTTGTCCACTGGCAGAATGGTGCATGGGTACGATTGTGGAGTTGGGTAGAGGTAAGTGCTGTACATGACAACCGCCAAATTAAATAGTGTGGCAAATACGAATAGATCCACACCCATCATCCAATGATGTTCAGTCGTTGGTGCTGTAGTAGTGATGTCAATGCGTCTGATTGCATCATTGATGCCGGGACCGTAGATGGGTGCGTATCGCCAATCGTGCTCACGCATTTCTTCAGCAAGTCGTGCCCTCACCCCTGTGAACCCTTCTTGACTATCATATAGTGCAAAACTAAGTGCACGAAACCCACAATGACCGTCTGGCGCCGGGTCGTGGATGGCAATGACAAGCGGCCGAATGAAGACAGGAAGGTGTTCCATGTGTGGGTAATCAGAATGGGTGCTGCTGGCTCCAGGGATATCTGTGAAGGAAATAGGTAATCAGCACAAATGCGATGTAAAATATTAATATAAATAACTACACTTATGAAAAAATTAAATTGTACTTGTGTCAGGACAGTTGTATCTGTTGTTATCTTCTGGGTCATCACACTCCTCCGCTGCATGGTCGTCTGACGGATACTCGTCTGTCTGAGTCCCCGTGGACTTGGTACTGGTCGACTTTGTAGACCCCGACGTTGTGCTTCCCGACTTCTTTTTCATGCTTTTCTTATTGCCTCGCAGTATCTTTTCCCACCACCCTTTCATTCTTCCAGTTGATTTTTTGGCTGGGCGCCCCTTTCTAAATTCGTTCACTTCTGGCTCGTGAATGTTGTCCTCCGCCGGGTGGAGACCGCGAAACACGTTCTTTGCTGCTTTTTTAGTTGCCTCTGGTCCTCTGCGTACAGTCTCATCAACCAACTCCCGAAGGTGAGATCTAGCCTCCTCCTCCTGGGGAACGTACTCCTGAGCATTGGGTGGATGCTCATATGACATTGTCCGCCAATATATATGAATATCACCGGGATATATCTCTATGTCTCGCGCTCTGCCATCCATAACTTGACATCCACACCTCAAGCCGTGTGTCACAGAGAAATGACATGCACATCGGAAGATCTCATTTTTTTCCAAGCGGGCACCCAATTCTTCTTCAGCCTCCTTCATTAATATAATTGCCTGCATGCTGACCTTCCTTCTCAAGAATGTGAATGGTGTACCACCGGATGCTGAAAGGGTTTTCTGTCTAGAGTTTTCCAACATCATCCTAACCTCCCCGAGTTGGTTAGTAATGTAGCGGTGGTTTCCTTTCCATACAGTGTCCATAGATCCCCGCGAGTTGTGGAGGAAAGTCTTCAAAGCGGAATGTGACGACTCAACCCTGTTTGTGCTCGTATTTCCTAGATGAAACACATTTTTTGTATGACAAACAGCCCACTTTTCTCGATGTTGCCACCACACTCCCTGTATGTATTGCAACAGACGTGGTTCTTGATTGCCCCATCTTGTCCTAAAGCGGCCAAACGCGGCCAACATACCTTGCTCTGACCAAGAATAAAGCATAGGACACCAATATTGGTCGTACGCCTCGTTGACCAAATCCATCCTGTTCTTCCCAAATATTTCCAAGCACTTCTTCTGCACATTGGTGTTGATGTGCCAAACACATAGCAAATGCGGGGTGGGGGGAAGACCACAGGAACCGTAGCAAGTAGTCCACCTTCGTGGTCGGTGACGATGACAGAGGGCACGCGAGGATGGAGCAATTGTTGTATGCACTGCAACAGCCACAAATACGACTCTTTTGTCTCATCCTTCATGAGAGCACAACAGATGTTGAAATTCTTCCCAACTGGAGTTGCACCTACGACCTCCACCCACGGCCATTTATATGCATTGGTCTTATACGTTGAGTCTATCAGAATCACGTACGGCCAAGCCTTCAACATCTGGATGGAAGTTGGATGGGCAAAGAAAAGATGTGTCAGCACGTCGTCATCGTCCTTCATAACCTCTGTATGATAATTCTCACGTTCAGCTTGTAGCAACGCATACTGCACTGCATTCATCTCGCCCATCTCTTCTTTCCTAGACTTGGACCCGAGGTTATACATCTGCCTTTGGGTGTGATGCCCTTTGTCACCCTTCTGCTTGTTTATTGTCTGCTTCTGTTGCGACGGAGGTACCCCAGCATCTCTCATCTGCTTAAGAGATTCTTTATCCTCCTGACTCAATTTATTCATTTGACTGTGGCCCTCGGGATAAAGCATTTTCTCATGACTGTGATACCCTCGCCTTAAACCGGTTCCTTGCTCCGCGACTCCTTGTATCTCCCAGAATGTAGGTCCATCAAGAGCATCTGGATTAACCAGTAGTTCTTTTATTTTAATCTTGAACATGCATCCCGCTCCTTTTGAACTTGTATTGCCACGACTCTCTTTGGAAGGATCCGGCTTGTATGACTTCCTCTCCCTACTGCATCTGTCGCAATACATATAACAGATACCCAATGATCTTTCGTTGCCCAACTCACGTGGCTTCATCGATCCCTTAGTTAGAAAGAAACCAAGAGACATCGCGATGTTTTTGATCACTGTTACAGCATCTTCGAAATTGGCATATCGGACGCCATTGAGAAAATGGTCTGTGTAATCACCAATTAGTTCAACATTGTCAGCCATGTCCACCTGCAATCATGATTTTGACTCTCGTTAGAAATGTACAAATTATATGATTCTACAAAATTAAACTAAATGCAATAATTTAATTAAGTCTAAAAAATACAGATAATTTAAATATAAATTATTAAACCAAATTAGCTCTACGATTTAAATCTAAACACAATAAAACTAATTTGCGCTACAACAAAACACAATCACTTAATTAAACTAATTGTTCTTTAATTGACTCTACAAAATTAAACTAAATGCAATAATTTAATTAACTCTAAAAAATAATGATAATTTGACGATAAGAAAATTATTTTAATATAAATTATTAAACATCCTTAGCTCTACGAATTATATCTAAACACAATAAACTAATTAGCGCTACAACAAAACACAATCGCTTAATTAAACTAATTGTGCTTCAATTGACTCTACAAAATTAAACTACATGCAATAATTTAATTAACTCTACAAAATAACGATAATTTGACAGTAAGAAACTAATTAGCGCTACAACAAAATACGATTCGCTTAATTCAAACTACAAAGGAATTTAACTATGTAAAAAAGAAATAAAAGCAATAAATTATAAATTATTAGCTCTAGAAATAAAATAGAAAAAATACAACACTGTTATGCAACCGGTCGTCCGCTCGCCGGTGTCGGACCCCGTCCGCTCGCCGGCGTCGGACCCCGTCCGCTCACCGGCGTCGGACCCCGTCCGCTCGCCGGCTTCAGACGGCGACCGACGACGGCGAGCGGACGCGGTCCGACGACGGCGAGCGGACGGGGTCCGCCTCCGGCTAGCGGACGGGGTCCGACGCCGGCGAGCGGACCGAACAAAAAATTCAGGATCAGCAAGAGGTTTACCTGCTTCACTGGTCCGACGACGGGGTACGGCTGCCGTCCAGTGCCCGGCGAATTATCCTGACGAGATTGGTCCGGTGGCCGGCGAGTTTGGCTGCCGTCCGGTGGCTGTGGTGTTTGTGGGGGGTTGGTGGTCGGGACTCGGGTAGTGTGTAAGTTGTTTAAAAAACCATTCAGCGAATAGAATATAAAGAAATATTTGGAGGGCAAAATTGTCCTTTTAGTATTTTTTTACGGGCGGCAAATAGTAACCCTCTTGTATTATCTATGGAATTGCCATTCTAGGTAAACGTTAGATTTGGATTTTTTCCTTGGGTTAATTACATGGTTGGTCAGTGAAATTATAAAAAACATTAGTAAAATTAGTAAAATTGTTCAAGTTTGGTCACTCTCCGTCCATTTTCATTAACTCTAGCTTACGTGGCAGCCAACTTTCATAGTTGACCGTTAAATATCTGACGTGACAAATAAAAAATTATTAAAAAATAAAAATTAATAATTTTTTGTATTTCGGACCTAATTATTACATTCATTAAAAAAAACTAATTTCTTTTCTACACACCCCATAGCCTAACCCTTTCGCCCTTTGTCAACCCTGAGACTACGGCGACAGCCGAGTGGTTATATATTTATGATCATTTCTCTGTTCCGACGCAGCTGGTGGTGGTTTGGTATCTTTCGCATGGCATATATAGCTCCTCATCGTCTCACGAGGCGGGTGCTGGTTTGGTATCTTTCTTGATGGGATGTTCTGGATTACTTGCAAAATTTCTTGAATTAGAGAAGTGGTAAACAAATTAAGTCACTTATGGGTTAATTTTTGCAGGGAAAGTATGTCTTTGATGAAACATTGATGTATTTTCACCTATCAGAGAAAAGAAAAGAAATTAAGGGTTTTTTTTAATGAATGTAATAATAGGTGGGAAATATAAAAGTTTATTTTTTTTTAATTTTTAATAATTTTTTAGTTGCCACGTCTCATATTTAATGGTCAACTATGAAAGTTGACTGCCACATAAGCTAGAGTTAACAGAAATGGACGGAGAGTGACCAAACTTGAACCATTTTACTAATTTTAGTGACCAAAATTGGATTTAAATATTTCCAGTGACCAAACATGAACGTTTTTTGTAATCTCAGTGAC